TTTTGCCTTTTAAATCCATGTTATATCTTTTTTACTTATTGGGGACAGAACTTAACATCTTCCAAATTTACCCTCATTTGCTCAAACTTTTCAGGATGCAAAAGTAACAATGTTGGGAGTGATCCCAAGTATTGTAAGGGCATGGAGAACAAACAATTGTACAGCTGGCTTCGACTGGTCAACCATCCGGTGAGTTTTGGATGACGGGGAGGGTATTTTCGTCTTTTGCATAGATGAGAGATGAAGAAATTGTAATTTTTTTTGTGTTTTTATCTTCTAAGATGAGCTTATTTTCAACTTTGTTAGTTGCTTTGGGTCAACGGGAGAGGCGTCTAGTGTGGATGAATACCTTTGGTTGATGGGAAGAGCTAAATACAAACCAGTCATTGAGTATTGTGGGGGAACTGAGATTGGTGGTGGTTTTATCACCGGATCATTACTGCAGCCCCAATGTCTGTCTGCTTTCAGCACACCAAGTTTGGGATGTAATCTCTTTATTCTTGACCAAAATGGTATCCCCATGGTAAGCACAATCGTTTGTGTTTGTTACGCAGGACATGACATATTGTACTGCATTTGACATGCATCAGATTCAGATTCAGACTGATGTCAACGGGACAAAAATTGCAATTTGTTGTCCCATCAAAGCCAAAAAAAAAAAAAAAAATAGCTTTTATGGTGAATCATGGGTTAATATGGATTGGGTGTAAATCTATTTGATGTTTATAGCCACCAAATGTGCCTGGAGTTGGTGAACTGGCTCTTAATCCCTTAATGTTTGGAGCATCAAGCACACTGCTAAATGCTAACCACTACGATGTTTATTTCAAAGGCATGCCTTCTTGGAATGGGAAGGTAAGTGAAAGGTCATGTTACTTATACAATAAATAAATTAGGGTTTGAAGTCATGTTTTATTAAATGTTTGTTATAATAGGTTCTACGAAGACACGGGGATGTATTTGAGCTCACATCTAGAGGATACTATCGTGCTCATGGTCGTGCAGATGATACCATGAATCTTGGTGGCATCAAGGCATGATTTTCATATTCATATCTCTTGTACACAATTCTTTTTTCTTCTAGAAAGTTCCAAAGAATTCGTTTCATTGATATCAAGATTTACCTATTTTGCCTTAAAATCAAATCTTGTCTCTTTTGTCCATTCACATAGGACAATGATAAAACATAACAGGTTGTACTGTGTTTGGACTTGGACTGGGACTGGGAGTGAGAGTGAGAGTGAGAGTGAGAGTGAGAGTGAGACTGAGTGGGAGTGGGAGTGGGAGTGGGAGGGAGAGCGAGAGCGAGAGCGAGACCGAGACCGAGACCGAGACCGAGACCTGAATGCCCTTTTCATACTATCTTGGAAACCGTTTTAAAAAGGAGTATGGTTAGTTTTACAGGTAAGTTCAGTTGAAATTGAACGGATATGCAACTCGGTTGATGATGGAATCCTCGAGACAGCCGCTATTGGGGTTACGCCAGCTGGTGGTGGGCCCGAGCGGTTGGTGATTGTGGTTGTTTTCAAAAATGACGATGGTTCCACAACCGACTTACAAAAGTTGAGGGTGTCATTGAATTCAGCTTTACAGAAGAATCTGAACCCTTTGTTTAAGGTATCATCATTTTGGAAATATTTTGTGGAAATGTTATAAATTCTCTAATTTTGAGTTTTGGGTTTTTGTTTAGGTTTCTGATGTGGTGCCATTTGCATCGCTTCCTAGGACTGCATCAAACAAGGTAATGAGAAGGGTTTTGAGACAGCAGTTGACTCAAACTGGTCAAAAGGGCAAATTGTAATTTGGGATGTTGTTCACTATGTTATGTACTTATGTTCAAACTTTTTAATAAAAGAGTATACTTGTTTATTCAAATGTGGCAGCCATGTTTAGTTGTGAAATCAAATGCAAAAGTCAGCAAAAAATAGACCAACAACTTGTTGCTCAGGTCATAAATTGTTATGAACTGTAGAAAAAGGTAAATTTCTTGTTATTATGGTTATGACAGTGTAAGTAATTTGTTATTAGAGATGGATTTTAAAAGAGAGACAAATATAGTCATCTTTCTTATAGTTTTTTTTTTTTTTTTCCAAAAAGTACACAAAGTGAATTTCATAGTACTTTTTTTTAAATGCACCGTTTTAAGCATTTCACAATGGAAATCGATGGTTATACGGGAATTTTGTTAACTTTGGGTTAATTATTGTAAAAAGCTAAACGATTTGGGCTATCTTTGACAGTAATAGTGTTGGCAAAAGTTTGGACTTTGGAGTACTTTTGGTGGTAATTAAAAAAATAATAATAAAAAAATCAAAAGACTAAATGGGCATGAGATGATAGGTCAAGGGATAAAGTGAAACATGAAAATTGACGTGGTAGGGCTTCTTTGTCAAAAACTGATCGGTAGATGCCCGGTCAATCGGTCATAGCTGAAATATAAAGTTTTTATTTGTACAAAAATATTTGTTAAACATAGTTACATAAAATCAAAAGCTAAAACCTTCAAAAAAAACTCAAATCTCTTAGACCGGAGGGTGTGGAAGGGAAGCTTCCCTTACTTTTGGTGGGCCATACCCATTTTTCCCTCACTTTTCTTTCCCTCACCTAAAAGCCAAGGAATGGGTGGGAAGCCTTTCCCTCACTTTTTTTTTTCTTTTATATTAAATAAAATAATTTTTTTTTATTTATATTTTTTAAATTAATATCAAACATAAAATTTAATTAAAAATAAAAAGCATTTCATTAATTAAAATAAAAATTACATTAACCCTAATATTTAAATAAGTAGAAAAATAAAAAAAACCGCAAAAAAAAAAAAATCAAACAACCTACAACATAGAATTTTATTTAAACCAAAATACGTCACTCGGAATCATCGTCTTCGTCATCGTCTTGATCGTCTGCATCATTCTCCCCAACGCCACTCTCGTCGTCAGAATCTTCACTATCGACGAACATATCAGAATCCTCGTCTGATTCGTCAAACAAATCATCGTGAGATAACTCGTAAGGGGGCTGAATATGAGCCCTATAAATGTGCTCCACCAAATCAGCACGAAGGGCCTGATGAATGTCGCGATTGTGTACTTCTCTTCTATTCATCCTATACTCTTATGTACCAACGGCTACTCCTTCGACATTTGGCAAAACTTCATTTTCGTTGTATCGGCATATCGCTCTTCCTTCGTCTTCAAGAATCATATTATGCAATATGATACATGCATACATTACGTGTTGTAACCTTTTCACCTCATATGACCTTGCCCCGACCGTTAGTACTTGCCAACGTCTCTTAAGTATACTAAATGCTCGCTCCACATCCTTCCTAGCTGACTCTTGCGCCTCTTTAAACTTTTTCATTTTTGGGTCGTTAGGACATGTAAACGATTTCACAAAAACAGACAAGGGAGGATATATACCGTCAGTAAGATAGTATCCACGCTTATATGCTACCCCATTTGCTTGAAAATGTACATCGTGTGACTTTCCAAGGTAGATATCGTTGAATACCGGCGAGTCTAGCACATTGATGTCATTGTTTGCACCAGCTGGACCAAAGAATGCATGCCATATCCAAAGATCATGTGATGCGATAGCCTCTAGAATGATCGTCGGCTCTTTGTGGTCGTCTCTCATGTACTGACCACGCCATGCGTTGGGGCATAATGACCAACTCCAATGCATGCAATCGATACTACCTAACATTCCAGGGAATCCATGCTTGCCTTCATGCACCGTATACAATTGGTGGATATCGTTGATAGTTGGTTTGCGCAAATATCGTTGCCCATAAACCAAACAGATCGCTTTGCAGAACTTGTACACACACTCCCGCACGGTACGCTCTGACATCCTAAAATACTCGTCTCATTTGTCTGCGCCCATACCGTATGCTAGCTGACGAATTGAAGCCGTGCATTTTTGAATGGGAGAGAAACCTTTTTTTCCCCTTGCATCCATTTTCCATTGGAAATATGGAAAACGGCCTTCCAAATCGCCAACAATACGTAAGAATAGTTCCTTCCTCATCCGGAACCGACGTCGAAACTTTACAGCGTAGATGGCGTCATCTGCAAAATAATCTTCTATAAGGCGATCGTGTCCGGCTTCGTGATTTCTACGTAACGACGACTTTCTTAGGTTAGGTCTTGCACGTGATGTTTCGCCTAATCGGTTTTGATAGTATGCAACCGTTTTCGCCATGACGGAACCGATAAACTTAACCTCCTCTACAGCCGTCGAATCGGATGATGAAGATGATGACATTTTGAATAATATTTTTTAGAGAGAAATATAGGTTATGGGTTAAAAAAAATGATAGAATGTTTGAATATTTATAGGTTAAGAAAAGGGAAACAAAAAAGAATATATATATATATATATATATATATATATATATATATATATATATATATATATATATATATATATAGCCGTTTGGAATAAAAAAAGAAAAAAAAAAGAAAAAAAAAATCGCACAGCCAATGGTTAGAAGAGAGAGAGGGACTCTCTCCCCCCACTCTCTTCCCGCTACTCCTTTCCCGCACCCACGGTGCGGTGTGTCTTCATGCGGGAACCGATCCCGCGGTTTCCCCGCGGTCCACTCCGTCCGGCCTTAATAGCTACTTGAGTTGGCTTTTGAATTAAGAACTTCTAATTTAAAACAATAGTTTAAAGCTCAAATTACCGTACGAACCATTTTGAAACTTTTTTTTAATCCATTTTTTTTAAAGCCTCTCAGAAGCTCGCTGTTAAACATGGAGTTACAGTCTTCGTAGGAAAATAATTAATGGACAGTTTATACCTTTTTTTTCTTTGGTTATTTGGAATTAATATATTTATTTTGATAATAGAAGATAAAAGGGTATAAACTGTCCCTTAATTATTTTTTTGGTTTAATTGGTCCACAAAGAATAGCTTTCAAAAAGGAATTATATTACAACCAAAAATAATTAAATTAAAATACACTATAGATTTAAATGGGGGTATAGTTTGTCGTTACATTATTAAATTCAGTGGAAGTGGATGTATCAAAATGTTCCGCTGAAGAATCAGCAGCCTACCACCTCCTTAAACCCTAAAATCAAAAGTTGCGAAAATAAACCCTACTTCTGCTGCTTTAGTTTTGCCCCCTTGATTTCACGATTCATACAGAAGAGATGGGAGGAAGTGATAGTGAAGTAGAGAAATCAGCACACAAGGAGAAGGAAAAGAAGAAGCTTCAGGCCTTAGCTCCAATTGCTAAACCCCTTGCTGGCAAAAAACTCTCCAAACGCACCCTCAAACTCGTCCGCAAAGGTACAATCAATCAAATCTCGCACACTTTTCTCCATTGATTTTTCATATTTAATCTCAACGAACATGGTGAAACTTAGCTTTATATGTTCATGTTTTTATGTTATTTAGCTGCCGAACACAAATGCTTGAAAAGAGGAGTCAAGGAGGTCGTGAAGAGCATCAGACGCGGTAATAAAGGGTAAGTTAGCGAGATTTGTTTATGCAAATTGATTGTATGAAATTAGATCCCATCTATGTTGATGAGTTATAGATCGTTTGTTGTTATTTAATCTACAAATATACATGTTAACAACAAGGTGAATCCATGGATGAATGCAGTGTGTGTGTAATTGCTGGAAACATAACTCCAATCGATGTGATAACTCATGTTCCAATACTATGTGAAGAAGCAGAGATACCATATGTTTATGTTACATCAAAAGAAGTGAGTTTTACATCCCCTTGGTTTTTATCTAGACTCGGCCATGGACATTGACATGAGAAAAATCGTATGGTGGTTGCAGGATCTAGCAAATGCAGGTGCTACAAAGAGGCCAACATGCTGTGTTTTGGTGCTCCCAAAGCCAACAAAGGGAGAACTTGGAGAGGAAATCCAACAAAAACTGAAAACTGAATATGATGAAGTTGCTACAGAAATTACTTCACTTGCTGCATCTATGTTTTGAGAATACAATTGTTTGTATCTTTCTTTATTTATGCACTTGAATTTATCAGTATTAGTATCAGTTATCTTGCTATTTTAAATATTCATGACCAAAACCAAGCACAAAAATCTGTTTTTGTAGCCAAAAAGACTTCAACTTATGCTATTTTTTCTAAAACAGTTCATTATGCAAGTACAACGAGTCATCATAGAATTAGAAGGGTGTTATTATAGGAACAACAAATGTGAAATTATTTAACCAAAGTTTTACATGTCTTTCATCATTTTTAGTTGAACTCAATAAACAGAATATCATTCGAGGAGAAATTGGCTTGGATTCAGTTAGTCTAATGATCCATTTTTTTTTGTAATTTATCTCAAATCCGAAGTATATACTAATATATTTTTAATTTAATCAACAATTTTTTTACCATATCCTGCTAATAATATTTATTATTATTGTAATCACGTTCTCATAAGTTCACATGTTACATATTATTTACGAATATTCACACAAGGATAAAAGAAGATGACTCAATTTTTGGGCATTTGCAATACTAACCATCATTCATGCAGCATGTGAGCATTGGTTTTAACAAGTATAATATGAGTACTAGTTGTAAGACTTATGTATTACATGAGCTAATTTAAAAAAAATTAAGTATAAAGGTCGAGAACTTCAAATTTATAAGAAAATAAGAAAAATAATGAATTATTAAAATTGAAATGTTTTATCTTTTAAATTTAAATAAGTAAATCAAAAAAACTAATGAGCTTTAATTTGGAAATTTTAAAATTAGAAGATAAGTCTATTAATGAATTTGATATCCATTTATTAAAATGTTCTCAGATCGATATATGATGCTAAACAGAGACCGAGATAGAGATAGAGGGTTGCCCTTTTGTTGCCTCTTCGAGACAAAAGCAATCTTATGAATGGTGCTAATTCCCATGGTCCTTCTAGTCTCGTTTGGTTTCGAGAGCCTCCCCCTCCTCGTCCCTTACTCGTAATTATTATATTAAAATATTATATGAAATTTAATAAAATAAGAATACCCATAAAATGACATATGGAAAAAAAAAATCAAAATGACCACAAAATGACATTTGGCAAATTGAATAAGAGTGTGATATGTGACAAAAAAATCTTCATTTATTAAAGTAAATTTTTTTTTCTTATTTGCACAAGGCGCCTTTTAAAAACTCTACCAATGTTTGAAATGACTATTTCGAAATGTCAAATATCAAAGTTTTCAACAAAATGTTACATTTTACACTCTTTTTGTATCGTTATTGTTTTGATTTTTTGAACTTTTTGTTAAATTTCAATAAAAAAACAAACATCTTGAAATTTCCAATTTCAAACATATTCTTGAAATTTTAGAATGAGTTTTTTTCCCGGTCGGAATCCGGAATTTGAGTCTGAAATGACACTAAAATGGATTTTTTGTCAAAAAAAAATATAATAATAAAATTATGTGTTAAGTAAAATTGGTCTGAAATGCTAACATTATTGGTCATTTTGATAACACTAAATTACATCCGACCTAATTTGTCAACTTGATCTTTATTTATTTTAACATAATTAGAATAAATTAAAATATAAATATATTAATAATCTTTAAAATATATAAAACCAAATATAAATTAAAAAAAAAAAATCTTACAAAAACATCGCCAAATCAATATAAATAAATAAACTATGTCATGTTGGATGTCATAATAGACGATTGGACACCATGAAAACTACGGTATTGATTTATTTGTTTGAAATTCACTCCTACAATATAATAAAAACCCAAGAAAAAGTTTATTTACCCAACGAATACATTGAAAAGATTAATAACTTAAAATAATAATAATTATTATTCATTGTCATTTTATGACATTAACAATTACATATCAATATATGCTAAATGATGTCAGTGTACTGCCATAGAACCCCCATCGACGCACCCTGGCAAGAGAGATTAAATTGAAGTACACAACAAATAGATGATATGCCAGGGTTTACATGTCCAAACTCCATACAGACCTCAAATGTATATGGAATAATGTTTTTTGTATTGATAATTGATATATATCATATATGTTCGTATAACTGTTGGGGCAACATTCACCCGATTCTTTACACTGTTAGATGATACATAAGATTTTTGATCTTAGCTTTATGTTTCATGTTTATTTAGTTATTTTATGAATGGAAATTTTCAAGAAGGGTTTACTTTTGGGAATACAAAGTCCTGCACAATAAGAAACCCAATCCACCAATTGTCAATGTCATCACAAAGGGTAATCCAACCGACTCAAATCCGGTCAATCTGCTACTGCCCTTTTCTGCCCGGTCAGCCTGACCCTTTTCGGTAATGTACTCACGTAACAAGTTACTTAAGTTGTCAAGCTGATGCATCACCTGTCGTTGTCCCCTCGCTATCATTAACACCTTTTCAACAAAAAAGAATCATGTCACATCTGAAACTCAAATGAAAGGTAGTTAAAAAAGTATGAATTGTGCACCTCCTCCATGAGAGGTGGGTCCCGAGCCAACTGGTTAGAAGATGCAGAATTGGGCAGCATTTGACCGTTTCCTAAACCGGCCATGAACAGTGAAGTTGCTGACCCGTTGCAGGGTTCAGTCTGTCCGGCTATATTTTGATGACTCGGTACTCTTTTTTCAGAAAATTTTGAAGTTAGTTCTTCAATACGAGATGTAAAATCGTCCATTCTTTCATTCAGAGTAGAAATTTGTTCCGATAAGTGCGTAATCACACCCTAAAAACAACCAAAACAACTGCTAAATAACTCGCAACTTTTAAAAAAAAATGGATTTGAAAATTTACTTGATTTGCAACTGGTGCTGGTGAATCTGGTGTCCTCCCATCAAATCTCCTACTATTAATAGAAAGTTTTGTTAGCTTCGAGAAATTCCTTTCGCGTGTAGAAAGTGAATGCGCACCACCCCTATGGTTGCACAAAAATCAAACTCAAAACAATTGTACTGTGTTTGGTGTGCATAGTGTTTGGTGTACATTGGACTGAGACCGGTACTGGTACTGATATGAACGTGACAAAATTTGTAATTTTTTAAAACAGTAATGAGAAGTACCGATTAAGGTATTTGGATCTCCTATCAGCAGAGGCGCGAGATAAAGCTTCTTTAGGGCTTGAAACCAAATCATCATCTATGCTAAGCTTTGTTTTCAAATCATCTGGCAATGCCTGTAGATTTGACTACATTAAGACTGTAACTATAAATGCACACTCCATACAAATATCAGGCCCAATCACACATTGGGCCTGATAGATTCTTGTATGTAGTATGTATATATGTGACTGATATGTATGTATCAGATACATATCAGCCACAAAGTTGTGCATAATGTGCTTGATAATGTCAATATTATCAGACACATTATGTAAAAGTTTGGTATGAAACAACATACCATGACGTCATTTACAGCTTTTTCTAGCTGTATTTGTTCAATGTATGTGCGAGGAACATATGTACCATCTAAATCTAGTTGCTCCGCAATATATTTGACGTACAAACGATCTCTTCCTTGCACCTTAGCCAATCAAAGCAAAGGAACATGAAAAAATAAAAATAAAAATAAAAACTTTTTGCCAAATTAACAAGATGGTGTTGAAATAAGATACCTGAACATAGGTGCGATTAAGTTGCTCTAACCAATCGGTTTTCACGCAGACCTTTTCATCAAAGAAAACATGGCTACTTCTTTTGAGAATGGCAGCAATTGTGTATCCTAATGCCATTAATCCACCAAGAAGACGCACACTCACTTCAAAGGTGATTCTAGGTGATATAATGAATGGACTATCAGACACCCATTCCTAAAATAAATCCAAATAACAATTTAATTTATCCATACAACTGATGCTTTGATAAAAAAAATCAAGATTTTGTAAAAGATACATACGGACCTCAAACATTAGATTGTACTTTCCATCCCTGTTTCTCATCCTGAGATATGATTGACAAGCTTCAGGATCTTCACCAGGTGGAAGAAGATAAATGTCATAAGTTTCTTCTTTTCTTTCTTGATGATCTGGAGAAAGAACTGATTTCATTTGCTCTGGTGTCACTGTCTTTTTAGACTATGTAATTAAACAAAAACCAGTCATTAAAATGAGCATTGTATGTAAAGTCCCTTTTCAACAGTCAAATGAAGTGTTAACCTTCAAAATATAGCTGGGATTCTGAAATCCGGAGAAAGGATTGAACTTGTTGATAATTTTTATATGTGCAGTTTGTAGATCAGGCTCAATGAAAGCTTTGTACATAGGATATACCTGAGTGCAAGGATAGCTTGAATCATATAGAGAACAAAACTCGAAAAGATATATGATTAGTCGATCATAAAGATAATCAAACTGAAATATACGGTTTCAGAGATTTGATGAATGATTTCTTCAGGTTCTTGACCAACACGTTGGATGTCCCTTAAAACCCTCTTGACAAGATCAAAGTGTACTCCACCAGTTACAGAGACACGAAGATCTAGCAATGGTCGTAGCTTTTCACTCAGTGCATAAATCCCTTCTATAATGACTATCCGAGAAGAAGGAGCTTCGACTTTTCTGTAGCCAATTCGTGAACTGGACTTAAAATCGTAAATGGGAACATCAACAGCGTTCCCTTCCTTCAACCCACGGATATTATCAAGTAATGTGTCATAATCCGTCAGCCTTGGATCTGAAGCAAAGAAAACGGCAATCAGATAACTGCCATGGAAGTCGGAGAAGCTTAAGGAGACAACGAGAATGAAAGAAATTAAGAGTAATTACCATCAAAATTGCCATCAACAATACGAGTTGCATCATTGTAATTGTCCATTGTTATGACGGCGATGCTGGGCATGAAGTTGAGGACTTTATCTGTGAATACAGTCTTCCCAGCCCCAGATGGACCTGCTACTCCGACTAATAGAATGCCTTCATTTTTCTGAACTAATAATTGGCATGCTCGGATCACTACGAAGAAACCCTTCTCGAATGATAAAGGATCTTGGATTGGGGCAATCTCGTATCGAGATGAATCCTTCTTTTTAACCAACTGAACTTGATCTCTTAGCAGACCAGATCGTCTTCTAGGCGATTCAACAGTAGAAGAATTCTCCTGGGACATCTTTTTTCACCTTTATGCTGCAAAAAATGAAACCAAAATAAGTAGGAATAAACGGAAATAGATTTTTCCCCCAAATTCAATGAATCAAACAATCAATTAGATGGAAAGGATAGTTGGCAATTAATTTAGACTCATAAGCAATTCAAGTAACCTGAAATAGATTTTTCCCTAATTAACCAATTAAGATTTCATGTACAGGATAACAAACATAAAAAAACTCTCGAAAGATCCCTGCACTTTTTCTGGGTATGGTTAGAAAGGTGTCAATAGGTCCTAGAAAGTTGAATTAAAAATGGGGGCGAGTGATCTAGAAGGGGTTGTGAAAGTACCGAAAGACGTTGATGGGGTAGGAGTGTAGGGTTGAAGATAACCAGGTGGTGAGATTGAGAATGAGAATGAGAATGAGACCTTTGCTGGTTGACGATGAAAGTATGAGTCAATTTACAGAGGGACGATGATGATGAAGGGACGCGAGATCGTTGGTTGCTAAATAAGACGTCTGGCGGTTGATATTTCAAGTGGATGACCGGAACATTTACCCATAAATTGGGATAATTTTTTTTCTTATTTATGGGAAAATAGCATCCTTTCAATATATTGATAAATATTTTAATTTATATTTAAGTGGATTTTTTAATTTTAACTCGAACTAAAAAAGAGTAAAAAATTCGATTAAAAACCTAATTTTATTCGAAAATACAAACTTAAATTTTAATTTATTAAAAATATAAAATTATTTTATGTAGTGTTTTTTATATGACTTGGGAGTTTTATTTTTTTATTTTTATATTATTTTATATATCTTTCAAATATACTACTCTTGACTCTATCATACATAACTATGTACTCGTGCAATATCTCCAAACACCAATTGAAAATAATTTATATCAGATCTTTCTTGCACAAAACATGTCATTTTTCCTCATATCTTGCACAAAACATGTCATTTTTCTTTTTAAGCTTATCATGATTAAGCATGATTTAAATGCATAATTAAATATTGTCTAATAAGTTATTAAAACCTTGTTGCTAAACAGATTATGAAGTTTTAACTTTTTTAAATCAAGATGTTGTAGACTTTTAGTCCTTTTTTAAAAATAATTGAAAACTTAATATTCGAGAACATGATTCCTAGAAAGTACAAAAAGATAACCACAAACTATCTGTGATAAACTCGAAAGCAAACATGAGAACAAATTTTTAAGAAATATATCATGGAATTGATACTAAATCCAATATTCCTTTTCTCCAAATGTATATGGAAAGGTGTAATCTTAATATTTACTACCAAAAAAAAAATAGTGTTTCAACTTTCAACTTATAACAATATCACTAGGTTACAACCGTAGAAATGGTTAAATTTATTTTTAAAATAAATAGATTAAAGTTTTTGTAAAATTTTTGTATTGATTATTTAAAATTAATATATATATATATATATATATATATATATATATATACACACGTTCATGTATTTGAAGACATTTAATATAATTATGATTTATAAAACATAATATAAATTTGAATAGAATTTAAAGAAAAAAACCAATCAATAATATAAATGACATTGATATATGAAAAATTAAATATAACAGAATAAAAATAAATAAATAAATAACACAATAATTAGAAATTAAAAACTACGAATCGTTTATAAATTCCTAAAAACTTCCTTCTACACAACATTCAAAGTTTTGTTTATAAGTCTACCATCCTTATCCAAAATTAACAATTTCAATCATTCTCTACGTTGAACTCTAGATAGGACAACATACAACTGTCCATGTGAAAAAACCGGATCTTTGAGATACAGTCCAACCTTTGATATTGACTGCCCCTGACTTTTATTAATTGTCATTGCAAAACATACAACTAATGGAAATTGTCTTCTTTGAAATTTGAAGGGGATTTTTTTTCAGAAGGACTTAAAGACATTCTTGGAATAAAAGTTTGGTTTCCAATATTACTTTCAAATATGATAATTGCCTCAATAACACGTTTGCCCAAAGATTTGACTTCTAGTCTAGTGTCGTTACATATGTCATTTTACTGATCAATGTTTCTTAATGACATAACTGGAACATCGACTTTTAAAATTAACTTGTGATTTGGCAAACCTGATATTTTAAGACCATTTAAAACACCTGGGGAGTATAAATTGACATCAAACTGATCATGAACAAACTCGGATTGGCAGAGACCATCTGAACTTAAACATTCTACTTCGTCTCCTGGAAACAATGATAACAAACGATCGTTTATTTGTTGGACAACTTCATTTTTTGGAGCAAGTATTGCTCTTTCTTGAAAATAACCTGTAAGGTTGACTTCGTTTCGTGAGATGCGATGTATGTATCATCAACATTAAACGATGCAGAATTTCCCCCGCTTTAGAAATGTAAATATTTGTATTAGTTTCATTCAAATTTTGTTTCATTGACATTTACAATTAATTAATGATTTATATAAAAGTATGAATCATAAAAATTAAGAGTATAAACAGATAAAAGAAATTATATAACCACCTCAACAACTAATTTTTTTTTCCAAATCATTGATGATGTTATTATCAAGCGTATATGTAAGTATCCCAAATTGATTGTAGTTATTAGTTATTGGTGACATTAAATTCATTAACATCAACTTTGAATGCCATCTTTTTATGCTCCAAACATTTAAGGTCATAAGGATACAATTATGGACTATAAAAAATGATATATAACATTGTTATGGTTAAAAACACATTAATATAAACGAAATCCAATAAATAATGGTAAGTAATAAAATAGATATTATAATTATTTTATATCTGTTTAATTTGATTTAGGAGACAACTTGCACTTTTTTTTTAACCAATTTATAAGCATCTCTATCAAACAAAGTTAGTTTAATTGTTCCAGAATCATCTTAGACACAAATAGGTATCTTATACCTATAAAAAATACAAACATAAATAAATATTAAATATATGTTTAATAATATTTTAAGTTTATTTTAATTGCAATTTTGTTAAAAGTAAACAACCTCGGAACATAATATATTTTCTTGTTTTTACACTTATCATTAGAGCATTCATAAACCACACTTGCGTCACTACTTTTTGGACCATTAAACGCATTCATTTTATTGACTTTCCTTCCAAAGTTGGTACACGCATTGTAATACCATTAAATATCTTGTCGAATCCCATAAATGGATCCAACAATGATGAATTTCCCGACCTTAAAAATACAATAAGATCATTAAAATTATAATACTTGTCCATGAGAACAGAAATGCTATTAAGATGACTCAATTGTTGAGATACCTCTTGTGGTTCGTGCAAATCGACAACGTTTTTAAGCTAGTGATTAATCAAAAAGTCATCATATTCAGAATATGACTGAGAGGTTTGAACATGCGAGTGTGATCAAAATGGCTGTTAACGGAAGGTAATCCTAAAAAAACAAAATAAAAGACTTAAAAGACTAATTAATATAAAAGGTTAAAATAAGGTTGGTTTGTATAAAAAACATACCGTCATAAACATTAATTTTTGCAAATTGCAATAGAAAAATCACACGACCAATATTTTTATGATTTTGAACATAAGAAATCAATTGGTATCCAATATCTCCAAACAATGTTACATTAACCTATATACCTCTGCAAAGTACACACACATATATATATATATATATATATATATATATATATATATATATATATATATATATATATAATGGTTAAATGATTATATAATACAGAAATAACACATACACAATTAAACGTAATGAATATAATATACGAAAAGTTATGGTTACTCTAAGTTTTGGATCTTTAAGGGTAGCCTATGTTTGGATTTGTTGACATCACGGGAATCCAATGATCCTAACGAAACAACTTCACCAATAACATCTAGAAGAATATAATACAATATGTCAAAATGATGTAAACTTAAAGTAGATAATTATAAAATCAAAATAGATTGTATATTAATAATTGAAAGAAGGAAAAAAATATCAATTCAGTCATTAGATGTAGTTGTTGCAGAGATGATTGTTTCATACGAAACACAAGAAAATCCGTATGTTGATTTGGATTGAAAGTCTAGACACTCCTTAACATATATTCTTCCATGCAAGTTTAATTTCTCCTTTACATCACATATTTTAAAATTGTATATGTTAGGGGGATAGTGGCGGATCTGATGAAAACAGTAAAATCTTCTGTCAGTTTTGATTGAAACCTTTCAAAATCTCTTGGATAGACACTTGCTCGGATTTTGGTACCCTATTCACATAGGATAAGAATATTATATAATGTTAAACAGTTGTATTTTAATAAACAGAAATTGATTAACAATGTAAAACAATATTGTAATAGTTGATTTTACCATCTTATCCATCAATATCATCTTAAGTGACTTTACTATAGTCGGGCTTACATCTGAGATTGATCTCCATAACCGGATGATACACACTTTTAGTGTGTAATCATCCTTCATATTATCCAAGTCGTTAATGAAAGTGATGTCTCTCTCTGCCATTGTCAAGGTAACAAAACATAAAAGAAGAAAATATTATGTTAGAAGAATGTATAATGTTAAGTATTTAGCAAATCGATATGTTCTCATATAAATAAATGAAGACAATGTTAATGGTTTTGAATAAAAATACAATGTGTGTTCAACTGTTGAAATTGATCACGCGGCAATAACACACAATGTAAGACCACATCAGTGAATAAATAATATCCATTTTTGTAACAACTAACAACAAAGAAGGGATCAAATTCCCCTTTTAAAATTGATTATATGTGAGTAGATTAGACTAAAGCTCATTTTTCATATAAATACTTTTCATAGTATAGTTAAGAAATACAATAATAATCACGTTTTCGAAGTTTTAGGGACAATAATCAATTTGGAAGATGGAGGCAGATCATAAGTATTCAGAACATAAGTAAAAGGGATTAAGTACATGCAGTTGTCTCGACTAATCAGGTTTGCTCCTTCTTGGACTTGTTTTCCTGCTGTGGAATATGAAATAATGGTGGTGTAAACTAATGATTAAAGATGTTGAATTATATATAGAACTGAATATGATGAAAAGGAGCAAGTAAATCAACTGAATAGCAATTTAAATATAAATTTAATTTAGGATATATCATAGCTTATCGATTCCTTATTTGCAGGGATTCGATATGAGTGATAACAGCTGTTTCATAAGTTATTGGATGAAATAGAAGAATGAATATGGTAAGAAATAAAATTTTTCCTAACATGAATCAGGTATGTTTTCAAATTACATATCACATTAATCACATTAAATAAGGATATCAGTTACATATATCATATGACATTATCATGTAATCGATTGGTGAGGAGGGACAAAAAGGGTATTTTACATTGGATGAATCTTGATTTTTGAAGGGATATGTGGCAGAGAGGACTCTTTTATTAGAGAGGGAGGTTTTATAAAATATATATATATATATATATATATATATATGATTATTTAGTAGATAATTATAATACTAATTAAAAAAAATACAAACTTACATGTAACAACTAACAATTTTAATAGAGGATGCCTCATTTTAACATGATTGATAGTAAATTGATACTAAGTTCATTATTCATTCGTTTATCTTGCATCATGAGCAACTCTTTGTGCATGATGTGCATTCTTTTTTTTGTTGTTCCTCCTCCATCAAGCATAGTTTCCTGCTCGATATTGTTTTCTGTCAGCGGCTTCATGTTTGGTACAACTGCTGATGTCATTTTCTTCCCATTCCGTTGAGGTTTTTGTGACTCTTGAAAGTTGAACTCATCTCCATTTACATTGATGTTCCCATGAAATTAAGGATCTGAAAAGGTTGTGTATGCGTTTTATCCAGGATGTCTTGCGTTCGTCGTTTTTTATGATTGAATATCATCCTTGCCATGACTTCCATTTCAAGTGCTCTTTCACAAGATCCTAAGCCGACAAGTGACCATTATATATCAGGTTTATAATATTTACTTCTGATTGACCGCTCGTCGGGCATTGGTCTTGTTGTATATAATGTAGCATCCAAAATTTTCACATTGTAAAATGTTATGGTTATAAAATCATTTCGAGGGTTAATCCGTATTTGACAAAAATTCGGTCCCACAAAAGCATTTACAAATAAAACATTGGGTGTTATCATTTAGCATCATACAAATCATAGCAAACAAATACGAATTACATCAATACCATTATTAAGGAACTTAACAAGTTCCACTCCACCTATCATGACATATTATCAAGCTTTTATCAAGATCACTCTATCCTTGCGTATAACCTGAGATACATGGCATAAAAGATATATGTAAGACAATAATGTATTGTAGATGTGCGAATTTGTGACCCAAAACATTTATCACATTTTTATTAAAAACATTTCATTATGCAAAACATATTTTAAATAGACATTTTCCACATTCCATTCCCTTCTAGCATTAAGGCAAATTCTGGTATTAAACCATTGTCATTTTTATACTTAGGGCCGAGTAATACCCCCAAGGTGAAACGAACATAATCAATTCACCCTAGTATTTATCCATTAGGTAGTCTATCTCGCAAAGGGGTAGCACCACCCCGATAGATCCCTCTATATCCCGTTACGAGGATATTTAGCTTGAGTAATACATTTCTATCAATATGTAACATCTGTTTTCCAGGTAATGCTTTTTCTAAGTTAATATATTTAAAAAATAATTTTGAGGATTTTGGGTAGGCCATGACGTGGTGGATGAGGCACCACGACGTGACATCATATGATTAAGGAATATGAAGCCGCGTAGTTCCTACGACATGACAAGGCCTTTGCCACGACGTGGATGCTATTTTGGTGTAAAACCCTAGATCTCTGGGTTTATGCCCAATTTAAAGGCACCAACTCCTAGGGTTGCCTCATTTGGCATCATCCACCCTCTGAGATCATACCTCATCCAAATCCTAGCCTCCATATGTGTGCTTTGAGTGTGTGAAGCCACTTTTTGTGAAAGTTGAAGGAATAATAAGTTCATTTTGGTGCTTGTGTGCTTTATTCTAGCTTAGATCTTGCATCTTCATCACATTTCTGGTCTTCTGGAGATATAAAGTCTTCACCTTGCTCATTAGATCTCTAGATATACTTATAGGTCATTTTATGAGCTTTTTGGTCCATATATCCTTGTTCTTGGAGTTTGAGTGAACTCCAAAACCTTTGTGTGCCTTATTTGACTTTTGGACCATGGTGGTGGTTAGAAAGGGGACTTTCATGACTTAGTTTAGTGTCCATCCAATGGGTGAAACCATTAAGATCTTAGGATTTGAGATCTTGGCTTATTGGGATATCTTAATAGATATATTTGGAAACTTTGTCCATCAAGACATTGGGAAGGTTTAAATATGAGATTTGTAGCTCATGGGGGTTAAGGGTTAAGAGCTTCATCTATTAAGTTGTGAGAGACCAGTTCCCACGACGTGGTAGCCTGTTTACCACGATGTGGTGGTTGGTGTCTTCACGACTGTTTTGTAGTGTAGCTTCCACGACGTGGCCTATGCGTGGCCACGACTTGGAGGTCAGCTATGGATGACTTTGACCGTTGACTTTTGGTCAACTTGAGGGTTTTATGGTGTAGACTGAGAGGGTACTTCTATATTGATAATTAGGTGATTCATAGTACCATTCTTCACTGTCTGATAGCTATTGTGTTAGTCGACTATTTGCAAGGTGAGTTTTCTCACTATATTACTTGTGTCATAGTAGTGTGCATGCTAGACTAGCGGAGTCTGATTTTCTGATTGATGTTATGTGTATTTATTGAGTTGCTCATAACTCCAGGACTGTTGATAGTTCGTAGGGTTACTGATAACCAATATGGATGTTGTGAGCCAATATGACTGTTGATAGTCCTCAGGACTACTGATAGTCCCACCGTTGCTGATAACCCATGGATGTTTATTATGTTGTGTTGTATGTGATATTTTGGGGAACTCACTATGCTTCGTGCTTACAGTTGTGGATTTAAATGTGTTTCAAGTACTTTAGATGATCGTGGGAAGGCGAAGGCTTGACTGTACACACTCATCAACAACTTTTTTGATTCCACATTATTATGATACTCTGGTTTTTTGGGATGACTATATCTTGATACCTATGGTTTTTCTTGACTTGGTTTTATGGAAACAATGTTTTTACCTAATTTAAAAATGAAAATTTTGATTGTGAAAATGGGATGTTACACCATATTTTCCATGCTTTGCACATTCCATATGTTAGTATCAAAATACTCAATTCAAAAGTAAAGCAACTATATTTCAAAACATTTAAAAAAATGTTATCAAATCATTTGTTCATCAAATCCATTCTTTGCTTTCAAAAAAAATTATTGCGTTCAAGACATTCTTTCAAAACATTCATTTCAAAAGTATTAAACACTTTCATTTCAAAATATTTAATATATCAAAGCATTGGTATTTCATTATCATAAAATCATTTTGTCATGTACCCTAAAGTGGGAAAACACCAACACGTACTCACATAAGTCACCAATGTAGATTGTTACTCATTTCCAGCTAAATTCCACAAGAAAGTTGTAACGCCCGTAGATCCGGGCTAGTCAATTTAGAGACAATGAACATCAAAAAATGAGTTTTTGATATAAGATTATTTAAAAGGATTAATCTTAACCAATTGGTAGTATATGTTACAAGGGTTCCGTACATATAAAGAACGCCGAAATCCGAGTTATAATGAAGAAGTTATGACCTGTCGAAGTTTTACGGCAAAACCGGCATGGCACCGGGAGACGTAAATAGTGAATTTACGATAGAGGAGTTTTTAGCCTTAGTAATCTAAAAAAAGTTGTAGTATACGTTAAACCGACAACATACAAAAAAAAAAAGAACGCCCAAATCTGACTTCGTATGAGGAAGTTATGAATTTTCTAAGATTTTGGCATAGCAGTGCACGACCCGAAACTCGAATTTTAGATCGAGCGGTTTTTGGCCAACGCGACCTAAATGAGAATTGAATATCTCATTAATAGGAACTCAATGACAAAAATACAGACGAAAACGGAGTCCGTATGTAGAAATTATGAATTTTACGCGGACATTTAACAGTGTAGTCACCTTCTACTGTTAAATTTAAGATCGGTCGAGAATTAGCCGACGGAGTCAAAAGGAAAGTTGTAGATCTTATTTTTACCTATGCGTGGATATAAAGAACGTCAAAAACGGACCTGGTATGCGAAAGCTACGGATTTTAGAAGTCGGAAGTGTGCTGTGCGAAAATGGGTGATGTGGCACAATCTTGGCCATTGCTTTCTCCCCAAGTCTTGCCACCAGATGGTGACATGTGGCACCAAGTTCAACCATATTTCACCCTATAAATAGAACCTCTCACACCCTCATTTTCTTCACACCTTTTCCATTCTTTCTTCTCTCTACACTCTCTCTAAACCTCCCAAAAAAAACTCCCCTAGCGCTAGAAGAAAGCCCCGGAGCGCTCGACGGCTCCGAGAAGAAGAGC